CTCAACAACACCCCCTAAAGATACCCACCAATGGATGTATCAAACAAACAAGGATCAACAATATGGATATCTACACAATAAGCCGAGATCCCCACCTCCAGTAGTCCAAGACTGGGAAATCAACTCAAATCACATCTACAGCATACAGTTGAAATGAACAGGACAAGACAATTTCCTGTAAATTGATTACCAGTACATTCTAACACTATGAACTAGGCAAGGCCTCCCATGAAAGACACCAAATTGGCGAATCCACAGGGAAATCCATAACCCAAATCCGAACATGTGCAAGATATAGTCGGCTTACAATCAATTACTTAATCGATCAGAACATTCCACCAATCAGGCAACCAATGTAAATAGTATTAGAACAAAAAATGTTTTCCACCAATCAAACTAAACAATCAAATCTGTACATACTATAATCCAAACACTTCACACAGTTTGTTTAATTTAATCAACACACAATTAACAAATAAAAGTATACAACCACAGACCGCTTTATTAAATTGACACCACAGCGTCACCTATTATACAGTTGTATATAATTTTTTTATATATTTTTTTTATATACTTTCTGTATATCTTTTTTATATATATTTATATATCTTTATATACATATCCACCCAAAATGTTGTGGCAAAAAACTTCTGCCACAAACTCTGCCATAGTGCCATTACAAAGCTATCATAACATCAATATATCCCTCGCTATCCACTTCAACCTCTCAATAACATTTCCATCCGATGTTTCCACTTTCATCAGGGACACATTCCTACAACATTTACACACCTAACCAACTCTAAACTTCCCAAACCTACAGCACTGTTAAAAACTAACTCAATCCACTATCCTGAGCAGCAATCCAGACCTAACCCAATCCCCACCGGAATTTTAACCCCAAACCACATTCCAAACCCGTGTACACACCATCAACTAACCCTCCCCAACCAAGCCACCCTAATCCCATCCCAACCCCTCACATCTCAGTCTTCCCCCCCCCCCGACGTAATTCTAGAACCCCTCGCCCACTAAAAATTCCTTTTCGCCTTGCCTACACGCAAAGTACGCTCTACGACATCTATCAGTAAGTAAATTTCATTTTTTACATTCCATAACCGTAAATTACCACATTATGCATGAGATTCTTATCATTTTCACCCATTACAAAGAATACATACCAAATTCAACCAATTTTCACATTGTTCCTAGGCGAAATAATCAACAGATTTTTTCGCGCAAGCACATGTCATACATGTATAATTCATATAAACGGGAACAGAAATGAATATTTATATGCGGGCACGTAGTTCCAAGACCAGCTAGCGGGTCGAAATGTGCTTTCCCGGGTTATGCTTGGAGCCTGATGAGAACATAACCTTGGTTTTGAACACAAAACACATGGGACTTGGCCTGGGTGGCGATACACTGGCATTCACCCAGGTCTCGGCAATATCACAATACATCACATTAACGCACCCGGGTTATGCCTGCGCGATCATCACAAGAACAATCAATCAAGTCATACACAACGCAGTTTTACTATTCATGTATCAATTCAGCTTAAATGTTCAGACTTTTGTATCACTTATACCATTTTACAATTTATATATCACCAGTATCATCACTGTTTGTCTACATTATAACTCAAGCTTCACCAACATCATCACAGTCCATGCATCATCGTAACATAATTCACTAGAATCATCAGTATCCACACCATTCCAACTCTATCAGTCACACTGAATCGAAATTTCATTTCACTCCACACACCATTTGATGTTCACCCAATAAAATGTCCCAACAGGTCAGCAGGGCCATTTCACAGCATTCCAGGATCTGAATACCTGCAACCACCTTTTTGATCCGATTCCAAAAGAAAAACAATCAAATACAACATTTTTTCACAGGCATACATTGTGATTGTGCCAACAACACCAGGCCATTACCCTATCATATTTCAGATTAACATTGTGTTCTAGTGCAATATATGACAAACCCATTGATTGCAGCATGTCAATAAACCTTTCACCCATGACATATGATATGGAAAGTAGGCCAAACATCAAGGGGGGAGCAATTTCATGTTTTCGAGTTACTTATGTTGGTAATAAATCCCAATGTTGATAAGCCACATAGTATCTTATGTGCATTGGTGTTCAAAATGTTGCGACTTACTGCATGGATTAGAAATCACAAGGGATTCAATCATTGCAAAGGGGCATTTTTCAGAGAATGCAACCAAAATTGCCTTAAAGTGCCTATATCACTTGTGGAATATTTGCTAAGTTCTTCAACCTTTTTTGATTTGAAAACACGACAGTTTTCAAAAAAATCTGTCGTGCTTGGGGGCCTGGGACTCAGGAATGCAAGTGTAAACAAACAATATAGAATTGTATTATATTTTGATGCTGTAACTTACTAAAGTGAGCATTTTTTGCAAGAAAATTCGGTTTATTCAGCTCAAAATCGTTCTCTGGTATTGAAAAAAGTTCGTACGATTGCGCTGAATATAAAATTGATGGTGAAACATACAAAACGACTTTAAAATCGAATTTGAAAGTGCTCCTTTGTAGATGGCATCTAGCTTCGTCGAGCATGAAAATGTTGGCATTTAGAGCTACAGTACGGCCCTAATGAAAGTTAACCATTCTCGCTCGATGCTATTGAGGAAAATGTTTCGAGTATCGAGATCTCGAAACCCACTCGATAAAAATTCTCGCTCGCTCGATAGGCTTCTCGAAACGCACTTCACAAGAATTTTGCGAGAAATCTCGATGCAAACATTCATGAGAATTCTCGCAGCGCTATACTGCATGTAAAATTTTTCGCATACGTAAATAATCTGCAACTACTGGTAGAAGCAACGTTGCTTCGCAAGTCCGTGCGAAAACACGGGGTAAACTGAAATTAACAATACAGAGTCAATTCTCGACTGATCTTTAAGGACAACATTAAAATCCAGAAACAATATTTTGAAATAAAAACGAAATAAAATCTACAAAAAATAAGTATTATTTTACCTCCAAAAGATATCAACTTCGCTTTCCATGCCTTTCAATGCAGTATCGCTTGGGCGTCACTTCCTTTGACCGCGATGACTACTTTATTTGCGCTCAGTAACTTCTCACGCGACACCACTAACAGTGTCTTATCAGCGTAAAAGTAAAACTTGGCCAAGTTTCTTGAAGACATCGCGTTCTTATTTCTATTTCTATATTAATTAACTCTCAGAGCAGGCTCACCGACAGAGATCAAAACAGTAATGAGCCTAAGACGCTTCAGATCTCAGTATAAATCAGACAGCATGTTTTTCACTGACATCATCTGTAATGCTCTTTTGTTTTCGATAATCCATACGAGACAATAAGTTGTCGGTGGAGTTCCTGTTATTGTGGTTGTAAAGATTGTGAATGAATACAGCTATCGGTTACTAAATGCAATCAACCGAAGTGAACTAACATTATACTAAGGCTATAATTATATAGATTGTTTTGGTGTATATGAGTCACACCGTAAAATTTTGGAAATAGTTTATTTCTGACTAACGATAACGAGTATGTTGAGCCGCTAATTCTAATAAAGTACAGTATATAATAGAAAGAGAGTGTTTTTTACTAACACTAACATGTAACACTTCGAATAAACAGACGCTGACTTACCAGGGAATTTTGTTTATCTTGAGGTTGTGTAAAGGTGAGTAACGAAATAATATAACCGCTATTACCCTATCATAGTTATATTTTTAGGGAACTGGTAAATATATGTCAAAATATGTGACGTTTTCCATGCAAGGAAACAGCAATTATCCTATATTTCGCCACATGTTGGTCAAACTCTCGCTCGATTTCGCACGATACAAACAATTTTTGAGAACCCTCGCTCGATATCTAATTAAAGTCTTCGAGAACACTCGCTCGATATTAAAAATTTTCGAGAACGCTCGCTTGCTTCGCGCTCGCAGATTTCTAGTTAGGGATCAAATCGCGCTCGATAGCCTCTCGCTCGTTACACAATGTTAACTTTCATTTGGGCTGTACTGTACACTGACGAAATATGGGCCAAAGAATATGTTTGAAAGTTGGAAGAATATAACAAGGAAATAAGGAAATTAATTTTCACATGAAACGGACCTTACATGTACAGTATATCGTGATAGTTCTTTGTATTAAAGTGAATAATATATTCTCTATATGTAAATGTATTTGCCATTTGCAATTTAATACCATATTTTGGGTTGTCTTTGAGTAATTATGTTTTGCAGCTTGAATTATTGAGATATAAAAATTAAGTAGAGGAGGAGCTTTTTCAATTCTATTTTGTACTGTTGAAAATCACAATACATTTCATGATTCAATGATTGTATTAGCTTTATAGCTGCAAAGACTAATATATAAATACTTGGCTTGAATTTATGGCTTTGCTGTAACTGGTAGTGAGTGGTAGAGCTCCCAGCATTCCAACCCTTGCCAAACAACCTGAACTTGTGAGGGTTGGAGCCATGATGACATCTGGAAGGATCCAGGCCAGTATTGCACAGGGGTGGAAAAAAAATTATTTTCTGGGACTGCAACGAAAAGTGTGAAAATTTTCTGCAAGTTGTCGACACAAATCCTGTATAATTTAAATTAATTAAAGGGTCACTTGCAAAGAGGGCTAATAAGATTTAATAATTATTAAATAACCATAGTACAGTACCATATAAAAGCTGTGGCATTCCTAGAAGATTTCTTTCATAATGCAACTGAGGAAAGGATTTAGTTGAAATAAACAAGTAAGGAAAGACTGTGACTTTCCAAAGTGGTTTTGAATTGTATTAATATTTGCATCATAATTAATAGTCTGAAAACAAACATGATTTGGAAGTTGGACAAAAGGTATTGTATGTTCCATGTTTTTGTTCACCTTTATGTCCTTTATGGAAATTTATGCACTTTCACAATGAGTAAACATTTTGTTCTGTATAATGAAACAATTACCCAATGGAAATCTCAGACTTCAACCGTAAGATTTTCATATTGATCAACGAATTGTGTACTTTCAGGTACATTTCAAGTTTTCAACATCAATTGAAGTTTGGTTAGGAAATTACTTGAAGTTTACCAATCTTCCTAGCAATGTGTATTTTCTATAAACTATGACATAATTGCATTTAGTTGTGCTTTATATAATATAATCACTGGTACACACGGAGGGAAAATAAATGTCCATCTTTTGTTTATTCTGTTAGAAGACCGAGTATGCAAGGTCTGCCAGTCAGACGTTTAAACAGAACATCGCTTCCCAACTCCCTGTGAATTCTTATGGGCTTAAGCCCATAGTAGTCTTCATGAAAACTTTTTAAATTATTTGGAATGTGATCCCACCAATGAAGCAGATCTAAATGAACACAGTTTACCAGTTGAGATAATGAAATCAACTGATCATGAAACCGTGATAAAATTATCGAAATTCATCTCTTTATGTTTTGAGAAGAGATGTAAATGCCTTTAACCCATGAATGCTGACAGTGAATAGGCTGTTTAACTAAAACCCAAACTTCTTCAATTGTACTGTAAATAGGGTATTCATATGTAAAGTAAAGTTTTCTATTCCTTGTATTACTCGATACTGACAGTATGTCATACTGCCACAAAACATTTTGCATTTGTAAATATTTATACCAACTAATAAGTAATACTTGTATATGTAAAGTCATGCTAATAAAATCATTTTTTACTGTTGCTGTTACTATTTCCTATAGAAATAAAAATTGGGAATTGATATTAAGGAGGGAGGGAAACAATATGGATAGCAAAGTTTGGAACCAGGGCAGTGGTACGATACAAAGCCAACAAAGGGGCTAGAACCTGCAAATGAGGCTACATTCCGCTATCAAAGTTCTTTCGTAAATTATTTTGGGGGCACCCCTTACACCTAGTGTCTGTCCCTGAACAAAATGGCTACTTCTTGGTGCAGTTACTCTTTCTTTCTATTCTTTTTCTTTCCTTTTCTTTCTTTCCTTTTCCTTCTTTTCTCCTTTTTCTTTCTGCCAGCATTAAAAATTTTCTGGGACCAATCGTCCCGTGGTCCACTATATTTTCCACCCCTGGTACTATCGCATGATTTAGGGGCTGTTTAAGTGTGCCTGGTTTGCAGGGCTGACCCTGTTTGAAACGTCTTGTATAGATGAAAATTATTGAGTGGAAATTTATATACATTTATTAAATACCCTTCTATACAAGACCCTGAATTTAAGAATATTGAATCGAGGGAGAAGCCAACAAAATCACAATATTTTATACTTGTACTCTAAACATGGTAGACACACTCACTCACTCACTCGTTCTTAGATCAATGTCCCTGCATTTTGGTAACATTTTTTCGAATGGTAACCTTTGTTTCAGGATTTGATAGATCTCTTCGGAGAAAAAGTATATTGTACTAAATATGGTCTTTTCTGAACATATTTAAGTCTCAAAGCATTGGAGTAAATATGCCATAACATTTTCAAACAAAGACAGCGTAAATGGTACAAAAAGGAATTTGGTCTGAGAAACGCCCAATTTTTTGTCTTTTTTCACCGGACTCAGCAAGGCAGTAAAGTCGCAATCAACCTCGTCTCTTCTGTCATACCCGCAAGTATTCATAGCGAATAATTGTTGAAACTAGGAAGCAAAATATTTTGAAATGCTCCTGTTATACTTTTACTCAGCTTGCAACTGTAGACAAGTGCTTATTTGAAATATTGGAAAAAAACAAAATGTGCAAAAGTTTCTAAAATTGCCAGGTTTTAATCAACTCAGTTTATATTTGGCACAAAGTTGCGTCAGAGAGTTACATTTGTTAACATGATTTTTCCGGAATTTTTCATTAAATAGTTTTCCCGAAATTTACAATTTTCATGAAAAATTGCATGTTACAACAAGGAAATTTTCCTTTTTGTAACATAAAATAATCCTTTTTCTAAGATAAAAGTTTTTCTTTCCAGAATTGAGAGTTCCAAAGGATCTAGTTTAGACGTATACATGAACTAATAATGTGCGGCCAAGCAAAAATGCCACAATTTACCTAAAAAAGCTACTTTGTGATCAGAAATATTATTCAGCTGGTTTGGCTTTTTTTCATGATATGTTTGTGTATAATATTTAAACTCTAGTAAAATCCAATTAGTAACTTTAAATGCATATAAAAATAGTGCCACTGAAATGCAAGACAAACTGGGGAATTTTTCTCCGATTTTTAAAATACGGCATTTTCAGGTGTCTGTATGTTTTAGAATAGCCCCAACGTACTTGTCTATGTTGGGGGAGAACCGAGAGAGAAACTGGGCCGAGTCACGAGTTCAGAGACAAAGCTCAGCTCTGCTAGTCTGTTGTTTGTAAATTACAAAAGACGAAAGTCGCCGTTGTTTTATATCTATTTACTAAATATCTGGATCGATTGTGGATTTGTAGTCCTGGTTGAGGTAAGTTTGGTATTATTTCTTTATATTAAAATTATGTGTTCCTTGATTAACACGGGGCATTTCATATTAATCATAGAAATATTAAATTGCCAGCTCATCTGCACTACAGTTTTTTTAATACATTTCTTGTGCTACACTACTCGAAACACTACCAAAATGGTTATATTGGCAATAAAAACAGTGCCAAACTCACTGCTTTTTCTTACTGCTACCAAAACTCGTTGTTTTTCATTCAAAACTCGTTGTTTTTGCCATCAAACTCATTGTTTTTGCTATTAAACCCATTGCTTTTGCTACCAAACTCACTTTTTTGCTATTGAAAAAAAAATGTTTTTGCCATCAAAGTCACACTTTTTGCCACCAAACTCACTGTTTTTCCTACCAAACTGGTCGTTTTCTGCATTCAAAACACACATTTGTTTTTGCTACCAAACTCTTTTTTTACATTCAAAACTCATTGCTTTTTGCTATCAAACTCATTGTTTTTGCTAAAATATAAAGAGCCAAAACACATCTGCCTTCCCGAGGTGGTGAGAAAATCCCCCAGGGTTGCCGGAAACAAATTATGTGAGCATGAGCTAAACATCTATATTGCAGGTTTGAAACAATAGAACTATAACAAAAAGCGAAAACATAAAACCGACTAGAGCATATATATAGAATTAGATTACTGTACCTTGTTAACTATTTATATGGTTTCATGCAAAATTGAATCATGGTACATCATAAGGCTAGCGCTTATCAATCCCAAATGTGCATACACTATTCACAGGATGCATGGACAGACTACAGTCTACTGTACTAATTAACCCATCAAGTGACAGCACTCTCCCCTTCATGAGTAAAATCATCCGGCATTAGACAGAGAAAAATAAAAAGAGGGCAAACAAGGCCATGTTGGCCCTTACAGATAGGATTTTGGCAGGATGAATGGTCAGTTAGTCTGATTAACCCATTAAGTGTCAGCCATCTCCCCATGACAAGCAAAATTGTCTGGCATTATTCAGAGTAAAATAATAAAGTTGGGAACAACATGCTGTCAGCTAGTGGGTTAACAGGATACATGGGCAGATGCGGCACCAGGCCGCATTGCCACCAAAATGGTTTTGACAAGATACTTGGGTAATGTAATGTAAAATTTTATTTCAAGAGGGTAAAACACTTTACAGTCATAGACCGATAAACTAGTACTACTGGCCTCAAATGGGTGCACACTCTGATTAACCTATTATGTGGCATCACTCTCCCCTTGATGAGTAAATTCATCTGCCATTAGGGTAAAATAACAAAGTAGGCCACACTAGGATGCATTGCCACTAAAATGGTTTTAACAGAGTGCAAAGGCGGACACTATGATTAACCTATTAAGTGGCAGCACTCTCTCAGGACTTGATGAGTAAAGTCATCTGGGTTTAGACTGAGTAAAATAGTTGGTTGGTTCATAGTTAATCCAATACTTCAGAGCTAAATTCCCATTTGTCAAACAATTTGTTGGAAATAATTACAGCTTTCAAATGCCACACAGACTAAAAATGGTAAATATACAGTATGGTACAGTACAGTAAACTTTTGAATACTTCGATTAATACCAAGACAAATATTGGCCTGAAATAAACCTGGATACAGAAACAAAACTCGAGAACATAGAATGACAACAGAAGTCTAATTTAGTAATGTTAACTATTGAGTAATATACACAAACTATTTGAGGAACATGCATTACTGTATCAATGAGTCAATCATATGTCAAAGGCCACTGAATAGTAGGGAATGTTTTGAATGTCGATCATGAGTGAAGTATATAATTCAATTCCAATTCTGTGCACAGTTAATGATTAGATATACCACATTGTTCGGTTTAACACAGCATATCCACACAAAAATAAGTTATTTTCCATACTAATGAATTTAGGTAAGATTGACTTTCAAGTGGCCATTGTTCCGACAAAATTATCCAGCTAATATCCAGTACATTTATTCATCATTCTTGCATGGGCGTACCGGAAGGAAAAATTTAGGGGGGCAGAAAGAAAATTGCCCGACTTTTTGGGATTGTGCCCAACTAGTACCGAAAAATTTTTTCCGGAAAAATTATTTTGGCGACCTCCCCCCGCCCACCCCACCCCACCCCCCCGTCGCCAAAAAAATTTCGGTCAGTGTACCATTTTAGCGGTCAAAAAAATTTTCCGGACAACCAAAATTTTTCAGAACATAACACAAATTTTCCAAAAAAACACAAAATTTGACACAAAATCTACTTAATTTTAGACAAAATTTACAGAATTTCTCCCATTTTTTTTAAAAAATTGCAAACCAAAATTGCCCAACTGTTGATCGAATATTGCCCGACTGCTCAACAAACTGGGGGGGCTACCGCCCCCCGCCCGGTACGCCTATGATTCTTGTATCAATCTCTACACAAAAAACATTTATGTTAGAAAGCAAAATGACAATGTAATGAGGGTGGGGGATAATTTATTAGCATTTGAAAATGTTTGTAAAATTTTTGTTTAATTTTATATACTCTAATGTGTAAAACCAAAATGTATAAGTATTTTAGCTTATATCATCTTAACTTTTGCTCTAACACTACATTTGATGACAGCTTAGTTGGACTGTTGTTTTGAACAGAGTTACAGAAATACAGGACCAGGATTTAATTCAAAATCTCCTTAGAACATTAGTTTCCTGTGATATTGTAATATTGTTCATTGGCAATATTGCCTGACTTGCCTGCTATGTTTTGACTGTTTAAAATATTACACAACGACTGTTTTACTGTATATTAAAATGTATATAATAAAATATGTGGTATTTGACATTTTGACTGCTTACCAGATGAGGATAAGTTTCCATGTTAATAGTAGAATGGCGAGAGAAAAAACAGCAATTTGAATTCAAGATATTTTTTAATCCAAAATGGCGACAATACTTGAATATAAACACGAGGCCAAACCATGCCCATGGCGGACACGATGTAACATAATCACCGATTGGCTTAAATTGGCTTAAAATATATAAGCTATATGCTAACATATGGTACGGTACCGCACGGCATGTTTGCGATAGCATATATATCTGCTTCGCAGATACAAAAATGGGTCACAAATGGTAACACTGGGTCACAAATAGTAAAAATTGGTCACAAATGATAACACTGGGTCACAAACAGTAAAAATGGGTCACAAATGGTAACACGTGGGTCACAAATAGTAAACATTGGTCACAAATGGTAACACTGGGTCACAAATAGTAACAATTGGTCACAAATAGTAAAACTGGGTCACAAATAGTAAAAATGGGTCACAAATGGTAACACTGGGTCACAAATAGTAAAAATTGGTCACAAATGGTAACACTGGGTCACAAATAGTAAAAATTGGTCACAAATGGTAACAATGGGTCACAAATAGTAAGAATTGGTCACAAATGGTGACACTGGGTCACAAATAGTAAAAATGGGTCACAAATAGTAACACTGGGTCACAAATAGTAAAAATTGGTCATAAACGGTAACACTGGGTCACAAATAGTAAAAATGGGTCACAAATAGTCTGAACGAAATTGCGTATACATATTGGTAAATTTAATCATTTAATTGGTGTTGCTATAATCAAACACAATTATGTCCACTCTATAGTTACCTGTGTTTCAGGGACTTAAATTAATTTTAAAAAAAGAGACTTTTAACTTAACTCTGTAAT